AATAAATGTGTCAGGCCACAACTTTCATATATGCTCTAAAGACTACAAATGAGATGTTGCAGTGGCTTCTTTCCTTCCTTCAGTAGGGAAGTCAAGGAGACATTTAAGCCCAGCCCCAAGAAATGAGAAGGATCCAACTAACCAAAGAATGCAGGGAAAAGCATTTCAGGCAGAGGGAATAGCATATGTGAAGGCCTTGAGCCAGGCCCTCTACTAAGCATTATTCATGGATTATTTTTTCACAACCACCCTACCAGGGAGGTACAATTATTATCATTATAATGGATAACAAGTCTCAAAGAGGAAAAGGAAATCCCTTAACACATATATCCCTTTACTCCCTTAAGAGCTGGGGTTAGAACCCAGGTTCACGGTACCACCGAAGCCCATGCCTCAATCATGACACTCAGCTCCTTTGTCCTCTGTCTAGGAAAGGCAGGCATTAGCAAGAGGATGAGAGCAGGTGGCAGGCACCTCCAGAAGTGTGAAGGGATAGTCTTGCCCCGCAACCTGAGCCGCAGGCACAGCCAACAGGATCGGGGCCACCGTGCAGGACCATTCTGTACAGATGGTTATTCCGGGGTCATGGAGCCAAATCCCAGATTTAAGCTGTGATTATCTTGTCACTTACCACTGCCATTAAGAGTGCAATGGCTGGCTCTCCCGTCCCCTTTCCTTGTGAGGGGATCACAGAGGTATGAGAGAGAGAGTTGGGAAGTAGGGGATAACAATGCAATAATACTAATTGCAAACACTTTTATAACACAGTGTATGCCAGGTACTGTTCTAAAGGCTTCGAGTACACTAACTTGTTTAATCTTCAAAACAGCCTATAACATCATCCCCATTTTACAGATGAGGAAACTGAGGCTCAGAGGTTCTTAAAACTTACCCAAAATGACACAACTAATAAGTGACAGAGCTGGGATTTGAATCCAGGTAGGAGACTCCTGAGCTTACACTTAAAAAAAACGAAAACCTTTTTATTGTAAAATAAGACAAACAGAAAAACATACAGAACAAATGGACAAGTTAGTGAGTTATTATGAGGCAAACACTCTTGTAACCACCACATAGTTCAAGAAATAGAATTTTGGGGTGATCAGTTAGCTCAGCTGGTTAGAATGTGGTGCTGATAACACCAAGGTTGCCGGTTCGGTCCCCGCATGCGCCAGTGTAAACTGCACCCTCCTTAAAAGAGTCAACTATGCCATTGTAGCATGAAAATAATACATATGTAACCAGTGACCATGGCTGTTCCCCAGTAAAATTTTAAAAAAGAAAAAAAGGGGAAAAAAAGTAGAATTTTGCTTGACACCCCAGAAGCCCCTCTCTGTTCCCCGCCCCAACCACAGCCTCTGCCCTCCAGCTCTCTAAAAGCAGCTGCTATTCAGACTTTTATAGGAATAATTACCTTGTGTTTATGATATTTTTCATCTGAGCACACATCCCTAGACATTTTTTTTTAAAACTCAATACCTTTTAAGTCTTTTCATCTACAAGTCTTCCCTCCATCTATTTCTTTTTCTTGTAATTTATCTGTTGAAGAACTTGTGGAGTTTCCCAGTCTGGCTTTCGCTGATGGAATAGTCACAGAACAACTCAGCATGATCCTCTGTCCTCTGAATTCCCTGCCAAATGCCCCCTGAAACTAGAGGCGTGATGAGACTCAAGTTTGATCCTTTGGGCAAGACTCCAAAGGGTGTGTTCTATCGAGGACACAGGATATCTGTTTGTCTCTGTCTTTTGATCAGAGTCATGTCCTTCACCACAAGGCTACAGGGATGCTTCCCGGCTGCCCTCAGCTGCTCTGTGATTTGCTCCGCTCTCTGGACCTATCTGTCCCTAAGGCGAGTCTGTTATAGGCATCACGGTTTCTGCAGCCATGGGCCTGGCTCACACAAGAAGGCAGCCCCTCTGAGGTCCCACCTGAGCCTCTCCACACACTAAGGTCAGCAGTGAGATCAGGCCCTGCCTCTCTGATGAGTGTCATCTCTCTCTGCTACTCCTTCCAGGCCAGTCCACCAGGCAGATGGCATTTTGCTTCATTTCCCAAAGAGCCGTGCTCTCCCTTACTCTGGGCCTCTGCTTGTGCTGTTCCGTCTGCCAGAAACACTCTTCCCCTCACCTCCTCTGACTAAGCAGAACTGATCCTTCAGGTCCTAGCAAATCTGCCCCTTCCATCCAACCCATCCCCCACCCCCAACCAGCCAGATTGCATTAGGTGCCTTTAACCTACTCTCACTTCTCCTAGGCCAAACTCCTAAGTAGCCTAGTAAGTAGCACTTCCATCGCTACATTATACTTGTCTGTACTCTTATCCGTTTTCCTTCCTAGAGTCTGAGCTACTTGAAGACAGGACCTGGCACATAGTAGGTGCTCAATAAATATCAGTTGAACGCATGCATGAACGAGTGAATGAATTGGACTTTACAAGTCACAGGGAGGCAAATCCAGGCTCCGTTTCTGACCTTTCAGACAATGAGAGGTCTTCAAAGATGACACACGCTGAGCTCCCCACTAGGGGAGGTATTAAAGCAGTTGTGGGGGTGCAGGTCGCAGAGAAACTTCCTGCCTGGGATAGGGTCCATCTAGGAAAATGAGTCTCAGCCTTGGAAAGTAACAGAAGCCTTTCTTCAAACGATCTTACTTGGGCACCCCTAACTATAAGACAAGTTCAATAGGAGGAGTTCTAGTTTCGGCATTGCAGGAGGCAGAAGTCCAACCCCTGCGCCTCCCCTTGTCCTGAGCGTGAGGGTTCCTCTGAACAGTGGCCTGGCTATATTGTCAAGTCACTTTATCACAGCCATCATGTCTATGATTTTGGAAGGCGGTGACACTGGGGACAGAAGCATCCTAGCTAACGCCCTAACTCCACCCTCTCCCTGTGGTGCCCCCAGCTGACACAGATGCCCACAGAAGCCTTCTCTCCACAGATTGCTCCTCTGGCCCTCCAAGGCCATTGCATTTCTGAAACAATGTAGATCTGGGGTCTCCAGGCAGAGCTGAATGGGCACAGGAGCAGGCAGGGCTGCAGGCCCGCCTCGCAGGGCACAGAGCCAAGGGTTCCAGCTCAGAATTGGATTATTAGAGTGAATATGGAGCACCCAGCCCCCTTTAGCCACAGGGACGTGGGAATTATCCAGGCCTCTGGCAAGGGCCTACAGTCTTTCCCATATTCCCTGCCAGGTCTGAGAACAAGGATCGTCCCTGGGCTGCAACACATGAGCACGGGATTCTCCACCCACCTCCTGCTTCCAGCCGTTAGCCCACAGCCTCCTCCAGCTGCTTCGGAGCACACCTGCTGCCCACACGTCTGGGATTTACAGCAGTGTCATTCAAATTGTGGTCCTTCACTGGCAGCAACAGCATCCCTTGGGAACTTGTTAGCGATGCAAATTCATGGACCCCACCCCAAACACATTCATACTCACCAGGTAGGGCTGCTGAGATCTGTGGGTTAGCAAATCCTCCAGGTGATTCTTTTTTTTTAGGGAGTTTTTTTTTTAACTTTATTGGGGAACAGTGTGTTTTTCCCAGGACCCATTAGCTCCAAGTCAAGTTGTTGTCCTTCAGTCTTAATTGTGGAGGGTGCAGCTCAGCTCCAAGTCCAGTCACCGTTTTCAATCTAGTTGTGGGGGGGCGCAGCCCACCATCCCATGCGGGAGTTGCACTGACAACCTTGTTGTTAAGAGCACGCACTCTAACCAACTGAGCCATCTGGCCGCCCACCGGTAGCTCAGCTACGGCTCAGCTCAAGTCGTTGTCTTCAATCTAGTTGCAGAGGGCACAGCTCACTGGCCCATGTAGGAATTGAACTGGCAACCCTGTTGCTCAGAGCTTGCGCTGTAACCAACTGAGCCACCCGGCCACCCCAGGTGATTGATTCTTAAGCACACTAAAGTTTGAGAACCACTGTCTTGGAGTACTGGAGTCCATCCCATACACCAGTCTGACTGTGCCCCCATGCCTGTCAAAGAGTAGGGGCAACTTCTACCCACTGACTTCTTTGTTGGACTCCTTTAACCTTCACTTATCAAAATTAATTACAATGATTATAATGGATTGTTTAATATTGGCACATGGCACAATTCCACTACAGTTATGTGAATAGCAGCCCCTGGAGGTGTGAAATGCAATGTCCTGAGATCACTTACTATGGACTTTATTATCCTCCATATTACATTTGAGGAAACTGAAGTTCAGAGGGGGAACATCACTGGCCCAAAGTCACACAGTAAATAAACCCAGGGCCTAACTACTCTACTATCCTGCTTCCTGATTCCTGTTCAGTGGAGAGGATGGCAGCTGTTTCTACATCTGTCTCCTCATATACACTGGGATTTCCTCCAGGCGAAAACCTTGTCATCACTTCCTCAGGAAAGCCTCCCTGATTGCCTCAGAGGAAACCAGGTCTCCTCATTATACCCTAGTGAAGGTCCCTGAGTTTTTCCTTAATAGCAATATCACAATTTGTACTCATATAACGATGTGATTATTTCATGTCTGTTTCCCTGACTGGTACGAAAGCTCCAGGAAGACAGGAAGTGGGGCAGACCCTGCTAGATGCTGACCCAATATCCATTCTGCTTTTTTTATATAGCAGGTCCTGGAATAACGTCATTTTGTTCTACAAGATGCTAGAGGAACTTAATGCTGGTTTATATCAATTAGCCTACAGTAAAACTGGTTTCATTATATGTCTTTTCGCTTAAAGTCACAGAACCTATCAATAAGGTTAAATGAGGACTTGCTGGAGAATCTGACTTTGTGACAGCTGCGCACCCAGCTAAAACACCACATCCCCAGGCTCCCTCTCAGTCAGAGGTACCAGGTTCTGGCCTCTGAGATGAGTGAGGAAATGGCTGGGTGCCTAATGAGAACTCAATAAATGCATGTTGAAGATGGGAATGTCCAACCAGTTCTGGGCACGCAGTTGGTACTTTGGAAATGTGTTCTCTAACCAGGCCCAAGAAGAAAAGACCTCTATGGCTGCCTTTCTCTTGGAAATATTTTTATTGGTTCTGAGATAACAGGGCTGAGGCGAGCTGGGACGGGCGCAGAGCTAAGAAGGGCAGCAAGAGGCTTTGCCCCAGGGCAGACATGCTGTGTGGGATCTGCTGGCGGGCTCCCTGGCCCACCCAGCCAGCAGCGGCTGGGTACATGGCACTTGGCGCCTTGCATGACCTCTGCGGGCTTGGCACTGTGGCCTCCTTGTCGGCAGGCACCCCCCTTTCCAGTTGCAGGAGCTGTGAGTCTTTCACAGTGCGGAGGGATGGGGGTCCGGGGTGGGCACCTCCCCCGGGTGCAGGCAGGCCCCGTCCGCCAGTACATCTGGGCTCTCGGCAGCTATGGCGGGGTGAGGCGAGCTCTCGCTCCTCTTCTCCCCACCTGTGGGAGCTTGGCAGTCCTGGAGGGGCCCCCATGGCCTCAGCGGGACATCATCCGGACAAACTCTGGGAGGATATAGGAGAGGGTGGAGAGAAAGCAGAAGTTAGGGTTCAGCTCAGGACGCAGCCTCCAAATCTCCCTCATATCTGTGTCCCCTTCTCCACTGCCACTGCTCCTGACTCTGTGCTGGTCCCCCACATCCATTCGGCCTCTTCAAATCCATCTCCTACACAGCAGCTAGCTCAAGCTTTCTAATTTGCACATCTGACCCCCTTCTTAAACTTCTCAAGGCATCCACTGGATAATGTCCCATATTCTGACATGACCTCAAGGCCCTCCCTGTCCTGGCCCCAGCTGACGTCTCCAGCCTCATCTCCTACCATTCACCCCCAGTCTCATGCTCCAACTATATAGATCCCCCTTTCTGGCACTCTCTCTCTCCCTCCCTCCCACCTCTTAGCTTTCCTGCAACTTGTCCCCTCTCCCTTCTTTTTTTTTTTAATCTAGACTTTATTTTTTAGAGCAGTTTTAGGTTCACAGCAAAATTAAGCAGAAAGTATAGAGAGTTCCCATGTACTCCCTGCCTGCACACGGGCACAGCCTCCCCCATTATCAACATCCCCACCAGAGTGGTGCAAATGTTAAAACTGATGGACCTACATCAACACACCACTATCATCCCAAGTCCATAATTCTATTAGGAGTCACTCTTGGTGTTGTCCATTCTATGGATTTGGACAAATGTATGTATAATGACAGGTACTCACCATCATAGTTTCATATAGAATCGTTTCACTGCCCTAAAAACTCTCTGTGCCCTGTGGATTCATCCCTCCCTCCCTCCCTGCACAGCCCCTGGCAACCGCTGATGTTTTTACTGTCTGCATAGTTTTGCCTTTTCCAGAATGTCATAGAGTTGGAATCATACAGTGTGTAGCCTTTCAGATTGGCTTCTTTTATACTTAGTAGTATGCATTTAAGCTTCCTCTGTATCTTCTCATAGCTTGATAGCTCATTTCTTTTTTCTTTTTTTTAAAGTTGCAGAAAAGGAGTTTCTCAGAAGAAAAAAATACGTTTCAAAGAAGCAGAAGTGGGAGGAAAAGTAGAGAATCGCTCAAGGACCATTATTAGAAAAGAAAGTACACTCCAAAGAGTTTGGAGCGGGCCGAGCAAAGGAAGCTCAAAGGCCTCATTTCTTTTTAGCACTGAATAATATTCCATTGTCTGGATGAACCACAGTTTATTTATCCATTCACCTACTGTAACATTTTGGTTACTGCCAGGTTTTGGCAATTATGAATAAAGCTGTTATCAACAACTATGTACAGGTTTCTTTGTGGACGTAAGTTTTCAACTCATTTGGATAAATACTCCTTCTTTCTTTTTCACCTGGTAGCTCCCACTCATTTCTTAGGGCTCTACTTATTTATAGCCTCCTCCAGGCTATAAATCTCCCCTTCAGCTTGGCACAGGTGCCCCCTCTATACCCCACATCCCATTATACTTCCCCCAAAATAGCATGAACTAATACTGTTGGCTTCTGTTTTCCTTGCTGGTCTTGGGCTCCTCAAGGTAGGGATCGGGTCTCAGCACACAGCATCCCGGTAGAATGAATGGGGGATGCTGGGATTTTAGGGAAGGGCTGTCATCAGTTGGGGGCACTTACCTGGAAACAGGGCATCCTGAGAGTTTCAGATCTGGTGGTAGCAAAGCCTTCTCTCCATCTAGCCACACTCTCCTCAACCTTGAAGACCAACTACTCCCAGACAAGGTCCCCTAACCTTTGTGTTCTGGGCACACTCCTAGTCTGGCACATATTTCTCTTGGCTTTCTGCTCAGAAGGCAAGTACCTGGAGCACAGGGTCAATGTTTGACTGTATTTTTTCCCGTGTCCCCTAGTGTCGCAGGTGGTATCATGCACAGTGGTTGAGATTCCAGGCCTGGGTTTGTGAAGCAGCTCTGCCTCTTAACAGTGAGGCAATCTTCAGCAAGTTATATTACTTCTCTAAGCCTCAGTTTCCTCCTCTCATGAGGTAATAACAGTGCAATCCATAGAGTCACTGTAAGAATTACATGAGGTGATATATGTAAAGCTACTTAGCGCAGTGACTGGTACATAATACGTGTACGATAAATGATAACTATTATGATTATTACTGATTCCTTTAAAAAACACTTTTGTTGGGGCCGGCCGAGTGGCTCAGTTGGTTAAGAGCTCACTCAAGAGTTTGAGCTCTGAGCAACAGCGGTTCGAGTCCAGCCTGAGCTGAGCAGCCGCTGAGCTGCCAACAGGTAGCAGGATGGCTCAGCTAAAAAAAAAAAACCAAAAACAACAACAACAACAAAAAAACACTTTTGTTGAGCCTTAGTTAGCTATGTGCCGGTACTGAATTATGTGGGATGCAGAGATAAAGAAAATGGGGTTCTCAAAAAGTTCAGAGCTGAGCATAGAGGTAACTATAACGAGTAGTTAGGGGACAGTGTAAAGAACAAGGGTGAACATAAGGTGCTTGAAGCTCAGAAAAGAGGAAGTTCAATATGGAGAATCAGGGAAGAAAGGCTGGAGGAAAGTGACCCCACTGCTGGGTCTTGAAGGATGAAGAGAATTTAGTCCAAGTGAAGAACAGAACAAAAGGCATACTGGCAAAAAGAAGAGTGTGTTCGAATGGGAGCCTAGCAGGTTCATGGGCTACAAGTACTCTGGTGCAGCTGTAAGGTGGAGTGGGAGTGAAGAAATGGCAGGGGTTGCAGCTGAGGAGGTGAGCTGTCAGAGCTTAGGGGCCTGAGTGTCAGCTTGAGGAATGTGGTATTCAGAAAACACCTACTAGGGACAGATGCAGGAGGAGATGGATAGACAGATGGATAGAGATGAATGGGGCAGATGGACACAGAAATGGATGGATGGCTACTGATTGGGAAATCATTATACAGACAGGTGGATAGATCAATGCAAGTATGGGTAGTAATATAGGCAGATGGACAGAGATATACAAATGTATGAACACATGTAGAGAAGTATAGATGCCTAGATAAATGGAGAGATATACATGTAGATGGGTACCTGAATGAGTGCATGGGTGAATGAATAGATGAATGAGTTACATGCATGGATGGATAGATAAGTACATGAATAAATGGTTCTTTGGATAATTGTTTAGAGATGGACGAGTGGATAAACAGGCAATGGACAGAGGGAGATGGATGTATGAATAGATGGAGAAACAGGTATAGACAAATGGATGGATGGATATAGGGATGGGAGGCAGATTAGGGTGGTGCATGGATGGAGAGGTGGCAGGATGGAAGGGTAGGGGGATGGAAAGTTGGAGGGGATTGATGGTTGTATGATGGACGTACACTTGGAGGGCCCCATGGGTGGTCATTGCTGCCTTGGTTTCTCTTTCACTTTTAAGCCCCACCTACCTTCAAAGTCCACTCGTCCATCCCCATTGAGGTCCACATCTCGGATAATCTCCTCTATGTCTCGGTGTCCCACCTGATGACCCAGGAGTTTCCTCATGGCCTCTCGCAACTCACTGGTGCTTATCTCCCCATCACCATTGGTGTCAAACTAGAAAAGGCAGGAAGGAGGAAGAGGTAGCTGCAACATGGAGACTGTCAGAAGCAGATCCCAAGGTTGAATTCCTTCCCCAGAGGCATTGTCCCCCCTTCCCCAGAGACCATTCTCTGTCCAAGCTCCTTCTCCTGGTCTGAGACACCAGGTTCAGGTTTCTTTTCAAGTAGCCATCCTGCGGTTGGGGTTCTAACAACCTATTTACCCCCGGCCTGTCTGCTGCCCATCACTCACCTCTCGGAAAGCATCTCGCAATTCCTTTACTCCAATCATATCTGCCGTCTCCGCCAGGAGTTTAGGTCCCATTAGTTCCACAAAGTCATCAAAATCCACGTGGCCACCCACTGGGGACAGAGGAAAGGGCTGGGTCATCCATCTAACCATTCCTCCGCCTCTAACTAGGCAATGGAGGGCACTGCCAACCCCTCCCTTGGACCTGCCCAGCGCCAGGCCCGAACCAAGATTTAACCAAGGGCCAGTGATGACAGAGAGGTGACCATGGACAGGTGGCTGTCAAAGAGTGGCTCAGGGGAGTGGCCAGGGGTGGATGAAGGGAACAAGTCAGGAACTGGATGGAGGTAGACATAGGCGGGAGAAAGGAACACTAGGTCACAGAGACAGGAAAAGAATTACAGAGACAGAGAGACAGAGACACACACAGAAAGGCAAAGAGAGAGGCAGACAATCTGAGCACCTGGCCCGCATGCCCCACCCTTACCCTTGTGGTGCAAACGGAAGCTCAACTTCCAAATGGCTCTCTCAGGAAGTAGAAGTGCTGGAGACCTGACACCCACCCACGGCCCCGCGCACAACAGCTTTCCACCAGTGACTGACAGGGGTTCGGGGTATAAGTGCCCAGCCGGAGAGGTGAGGGCTGAGGGATAACACTGAGATGAGCTGCTATACTAACTCCCTGAGTTCACCAGCAGAATCAGACTCCTGTCAGTGGTAGCTGGCTGACGAGTGTGTCCTTTGCTGGCTCCTTCCCTTCCGTGTCTTACTTCCCTACTCCCTATCCACGCTTTTCATCATCTACCAAATAAACTACTTACACTGTCAAATCCCTGTCTCAGGCTTGCTTCTGGGAGAATCCAAACAAAGAGAAAAACATAGTAATAATAGCATCCCTCTGTTCAACTTACACTGTGGGCCAGGTATTGGGCTGTTTCAAATATAATCCCTAATTGACTCCTTGTGCTCCACTCCCCCAGTTACACCCCTCATTTTCCAGGTGAGGCTCAGAGAGGGTAAGTGGTTTGCCCCAGGTCACAGAGCTGAAAGGAGGTGAGCCCAGAATTTGAACCCAGGCCTGACTGCCGAGGGCTGCAAGGGGGAGGCCGGAAGGGGAAGGAGGTGCCCCGTGGAGGGACTCACGGTTCATGTTGATCTGCTGGGACAGCTCAATAAGTTCCATCTCGGTGGGCATGTAACCCATGGTACGCATGCAGTTGCCCAGGTCCCGGCAGTTGATGTAGCCATCCTTGTCCTTGTCAAATTCCCTGAAGGCCTCTCGGAGCTCTGGGGAAGGGAAGAAAGGCAGATGTGTTTGGGGGTGGGACCTGCAGAACCCCTGGAGGCAAAGGCAGCCCACTGGCTTGGAGAACTGGACCCAGGAGCTGCCCAGGACTGCACACACCGCCGATGCCTGGCTCCACAGAGGATGCCTGGCTCTGTACCAGGCCCCGTCCCCAGAGGTCAAGGTGTCTCTGCCTCTTCTCCCACCAATCTCCCTTCTCTCAGTTTCCTGGATGGTTGAGCAACCCTTTCCCCTAAGGAGCCAGGTCTTACCTTCAATCTCCTCTGGCCGCAGCGATCTGTCCTGAAATAAAAGAACGTGTCCTATTAGCAACTGCGAGGGGCCTGGAGCCACAAAATGCGCAACCTGAGGGCCATGCAAGTGGCAGCAGGCACTGGGTGGGAGGCGACAGGGCTGCAGCAGAGACATGCCTGGACCACGTGCTTGAGGGAAAAGATGCAGCCCCACATCTCCCAAAGGCATGGGAGATGCCCGGGGACCCAAGAGCCCCATCCAGCCTGGGCTCAGAACCTCTGTGCCTAGCTTTTTATTCCAGACACAAGAATGTGTCGGGCAACAGAGCTGGTCCAGCGGCAAAAACCTGTAAATGAAACAGGGTCAGCGGGAGGTCACAACCGACAGGAGGCCTGCAAGGCAATGGGAGAAGGGAGGGGCTGAAGGAGAGAGAAAGCAGGGGTGGACAGGCAGCCCAAGAGGGAGGAAGAGGAGGAGGCGGGCCCAAGGGTGTGGAAGCAGGATTAAGGCTGTGCCCTGCTTCCTGGGCACTGCCCCACCTTCTCCAGTTTGACCCCCATCCTATACTTTGCCCTGTCACTGGACACAGCATAAGACCCTGGGGGCCGCCAGTGCCTCTGGCAGCTGCCAGTATCCAAAGCACACATCTAAAGCCTCAAGCAAGGCCCAGGTTTCCTTGAGGAATCAAGGAAACCCTGGGCCTAGGAGTCACAACAGATGTCAGAGAAGTCTCTAAAGAGCAGGTCCGGAGGACGCATGGGGCGGCTCCAGCTAGTGAGGGGCCAGGTGTCCCGGGCCTGCCCAGGAGGGACATAGGCTGGTACGAAATGGATGCGGCTGCCCAACTGGACCTGCTTAGTAAGCTTCCAAACTGGCCCATAGGGCTCGTCTCCCTAAATGACACAGCTCTCTGCCCTTGGGCAGGGAGAACATGGGGCAGGTGTACCTGCCCTGAGGAAGCTCACACCAGGTGTGGGCACACCTGTCATGAACATAGACACGTGGGTGTGCCACAGTGAGCTTGACGCATCTCAGCTGTGCACACAGGCTGTACTAGCCAAGAGGGCCAGGGTGGGTAGAGACAGCAGCTGTACCCACTCCAAACTGGCCCCAGAGCAAGGAGCTTCATTTCCGGAATATCTGAGCATCTTCTAGAAAGGGGCTACTGAGCAACATCTCGTGGGACAACCAGGTGCACGGGACCGGGTGCTCAGTTGTGGCTTTATGTGGCAGGATAGTGTGGTGAGTGTATGTACGCTTGGAACGAGAAGGCTGCAAGCTACCAGGTCCTGCAGGGAGCATTTCTAGCTGAGGGTAGGAGTCACTGAAAGTATGTGTGTCTCTGTGAGATGACTGCATGGACTTCCACTGAAAAATCCACTTAAAAAGTCACGGTGCGTAGTGCAAGGGTTGCCACTCCTGTTCCTAGTCAGACTTAGTTCTTGTGTGGCCAAAAAGGATGTTGTTTTGTAATGCCTATACCCCCAATAAGTGAAAGTGAGTGAGTAAGCAAGGATATGTATGTGTGCGTATGTGTACACACAGGCAGAGTATACTCACTAGGACAAGTTACTTAGACATAACAAGTCCTTTCCACCCTTTTCGGCTCCAGCAGCCACCATTATCCCCTGGCGCCCCCCACCCCCACCCCGCCTTCTCCGGGACCTAGCTCTACAGGACTGGAGAGCAATGAGGTACTGCTGTCCCCCGCTGCAGCCCCCTCCAAACTTCTTGTAGAGCCAGAGTCAGGGAGTAGGAAAGCCAGGTATCCCTTTGCAGTGTGCCTGTGGCTGGAGCTGATCTCGCTGAGTCCTGGTGGCTGGCCCTTGAGTCACACATGCCCTGTGCAGAGAGGCAGGGGTATGTGTGCTGTGCTCTGGAGTAGAGCTGGGGGTGCCCACATGTGGCAGGGAAGCAATAAGCACCACCTCGGGGGGTGGGGGCCCGGTGGAATGAAGCACACACATACTCCTTTCTCTCCAACATATGCGGTCAGGGAGAAGAGCGTGGCCTCTGGAGTCAGACAGACTTGCAGCAGAGCCCAGGTTTGCTGCTTCCTAGCTATGGGAACTGGAGCAGGCCACTCCTGTCAGCCGCAGTCCCCTCATCTGTAAAATGGGTTAATATCAGGACCCACCTTACCAGGCCTTTGTGAGCACGCCGTGAGACAAGATATGTATAGTGTTTAGCGTGTGGCATTCAATAACTGGAACCTGCAAACGTCTGTATCTGTAACACCATCATTGTTACCCTCCTCCCTGTGGCTGTTTAGATACCTACAGGAGGCTGTCCAATACTGTAGCCACATGTGGCTATTTAAATTTGAATGGGAATTAAATAGAATTAATAATTCAATTCCTTGATTGCACTAGCCACTCATCAAGTGTTCAATAGTCACATGGGGCTCGTGGCTACTATACTGGACAGTGCAGATTATAGAATGTTTTTATCGTTGTAGAAAGTGCTACTGGATGGTGCTGTGTGTATCAGCACTGTTGTTCAGAGCACAGGAGGCCCCTGAGGCAGACTCCCCAAGTCTGAATCCCATCTCTGTTACCCACTGGCTGTTACCTTAAGCAGGTTACTTCTCCACCTCAGTTTCCTTACCTGCAAAATGGAGATAAGAGTACCTACCTCTTAAGAGTTGCTCTGAGGCATAAATGAGGCAACGCACTGAAGCACTTAGCACAGTGCCTGGCACATAGTAAGTGCTCAAAAAAAAAAAAACCCCACCCCAAAGCAATGTTAGCTGCTGTTATTATTTCTTGCTGGTGGAAGTGGAGTCGCCAGTGCTTTTCAGCCATGAGTGGGAAGCTTTGTGGGTCAGATTCACAAGTTGAGGTTTTGAGGTCTATCTGCTGGGGGACACGTGCTGCTGTGCACAGAGCCCCTCTTCTTCCCAGCACCTTCTCATGCCCTATGAAGCCAAGTCGAGCATGGCTCCACAGGGACCAACTTACGTACAGGCTGCCTGTTCTCAGCGAAGCCCTTGCGCAGGAAAATGCAGGCAGGGCCCAGCAGGTTGTGCATGACGGCGCAGTTCTGGGCCAGCATCAGGAGCGGTCCCGGGAGCTCGCCACTGGCCGCCAGCCCCTCCTCGCTCATCTGCACCACCCTGTAGCTGGTCTTCTCCTCCTGGCGCATCTTCAGCCAGCACCAAGCAAATACAAAAGAGAGGCAGGCGTCATCTCCAGGCCCAACCGGGCCCTCCTGGCCCCAGCCTGGCTCTTGGTCCTAGAAGGGGCTCTCCTCAAGAGAGACCCCTGAGAGTCCAACAGTGGGGTCCGGAGAGCCCTCGGGATGCACAGGGCAGGCATCAAACTGGTCCAACAGATGGAGTCTCCAATCCTTGACTGAAACAGATGCTCCGGGGAGCGCTGGGTGTGCTACGCGCATGCGCGAGCGCACACAGACACACACACACACGCACACACGCACGCACGCACGCATACACACACACACAAGACACACACATAGGCACAGAATCACACACTCCTGTGCATGCAGATGCTCAGAGAGAGAGAGCAGCAGGTAGCGGGAGGCTTCTATTCCAACCAATGTGAAGTTTTCAATCAGAGACTAATGGAATAACTTCCTTTTCCAAGATTGTTCCAATGTCCCAACAATATCCCAGGGGCTAAGCTCCCAAACTGACTTCGGAGCCTACCCCTGTTGGATCTCCACGGGAAGACACTGAGGACGATCAGAGCACGCAACACTGAGAGCAGGCTCAGCTGGTCTGCTAGACTGGAGGTCACAAACACGGGGACCATAGCTAACATAAATGAAGCAGGTAGGTAGGTGGAAGACGTGGGGACAGGGGCTCAATAGATGCTGTGTGTCCCCTCTGAAGGAACAGCATTATTTAACTCTAGCCCAACATTGCCAGATCTTCCGGGTGGGTGAAACAAAGCATGTCTGTGGGCTGGGTCCACCCAGTTTGCAGCCTGAAGGCTAGACACTGCCACCAGCAATTCTCCGTTTCTCCCTCCCGCCTGCCCTGGCTCCCTGCCCGGTCCAGCCTGCTGACCTCTGGAGTCTGAGGCAGGGGCCCTCTCTGCTTACCGAATATAGCTGTGCTCCCAGGCCCTGGCCAACACATCCTTCTCCCTGAAGGTTCCCATGCAGCTATAAAAAGTCAGCACTGCCCACAGACCGTCCCCTTAAGGACAACAGCAGCATCTAGATACAACATTCTATTCCACTCCAGCCTCCCCAGGATGCCCAGGGCCCCCACAGAATCCAGAGCTGCACACCCCACCCTTCCATCCTGTGGCACTCCTTTTCCTGCCAGGTTCCTCTAACTCAGGGTCGGCAAGCCGCGGCTCGCGAGCCACATGCGGCTCTTTAGGTACATACATGTGGCTCTGAAGCAAAACTGACAATGAAAATAAAACTATCACCGTTTCATTTATAAAATTTTTGAAGGATATTATCCACATAACGGTGATTTCATTTGTTTTATGGCTCTCGAATAATTTTTAAAGTGTTGTGAGGGACAGGATTGGCTCTTTCATCTCAAAAGTTTGCCGACCCCTGGTCTAGCTCAAAGATGGTCACACCCAAATAAAGATCCTAAGACCTAGGGGGCAGCCTTTCCTCCCAGGCTGAGAAGCGGGACCACCTGTCCTGTCACCCCTTGTCCTCTCATGTTTCTTTTCCCCAAAGCTCCACACTGTAGGGCTACAGGCTAGACTCCCTTCCAACTTCCTAAGCTTCTTCCAGGCCTAGAGAGGGAGGAACAGCATTCTGATTCCTCCAAGGGGAAGCAACAACTTCAGAGGTGAAGGACCTCTGTCCAAAGCCCAAGTTCAGTGAGTGCAACAGGGTTGGTCTTAGGTGATCTCAGAACTTGAGGAAGTCAGACAGACCAAGGGCTATTCTGACTCGATGCCAAACAAGGTTCACAGCCTCCGCCACACTCACACAGGCTTCCAGGATGTAGTCTAGTATTGAGGGCAGAACCAGGGAGACCTTTCCGACAGGAGGCTGGGCTCCGCGGAAGCCTGGGAGTAGACAGTGACTTAACCGCAGGAGACAATCTCAGGAGATGTTTGTAGAGAAGCAACCTTTTAGTTCCGGCGGACTCTTACACACTTGGCTCAGAGTGAACACAGCCCAGAAAGGAAGAGGCAGAAGGCGGCACAGAACTCTGAGAGGCAGGTTTGAATACTGGCTTTGGACTCACACAGTCTTGGGGGCAAACTCTGGCTCTGCCACTTGCTTGCTGTGTGACCTTAGGCGGATCACTTCACCTCTCTATGCTCCAGTTTCCTTCTCTAAACAGTGGGGATAATTATGGCGACTCACAGGATTCTTCTGAGAAATAAATGAGTTATTGCATGGTGCCTAGAGCATGGGAAGAGTCCAAGAAATGGAGTTTATTTGGAGTATAAATGAAGTGATGACAGTGACGATGACAAGGATGATGACGATGATGGTGAGGCAACTTAAGAGATGCTAGATGCCAGAAGGCATTTACTTTTGGCTCCAGAGGAAGTGGGAGAATATTTGCCAATCAGGAAAGAAGCGAAAAGGATGGGGAAGCACTTGCTCCCATGAGGAATGAACCGGTGGTGGCTGGGAAATTTCCACTGCATCTTTTGATCATAATACTGCCTGGCACCAAGTTGCCCCGGGAAGCTTCTGTTCTTCCCTGGCCAATGATGGCACCTGACAACCTGGTCCTGCCCTGCTCAGAGCCTGGAGCTGGCCATCTCTCATCATTACCAGTTCCCCGGCTACAGCTCAGGAAGCCAAGCGGGCAGCCACCCACAGACTAACAATGTCTCCTGGCACCGAGGGGACGTCTCCTGAGTGTGGCATGGCAAGAGGGGGGCCCAGCATGCCTTATGGCCTCACAGCTTTCTAACAACACAAGCTGGCCAAGCGTGTACAGGTTCAGGCTCCCTCTCACTGAAGGTGTTCAAGCAGAAGTTGAATGAGCACATATTTTGGTGAGGAGGGAGAGGGGACTGCTGTAGTCTGTGGGAATTTGGACCAGATGACGTGTGAGGTCAGATTCAAGAATCTATGAATAACATTTCTGACAGCAGGAAGAAGCGAGTGGCAAAAACCAAACTAAAATACCAGCTCTAGATTCACAGAGACCAGGGTTTAAATCCCAACTCGGCATCCAGTCGACTCTGTGACTTTAGGAAAGCTCTTATCTCTGAGTCCAGCTTCTTCCTCTATAAAATAGCCCAAAGAGCTATTTGGTGGAAAAGAGAAAATTTGATAACAAAAATTGGATGTGTTGTAGCCATTCAGGAAAAAAACAATTATGATTCTTATAAAAACATGAAATTGAATGCAATAAGTTTTATGACCTTCAACCTTACTTCATGGACTCAAAATTTCTCATATGCTTCTTTTTTTCCTTCATCCCCCTTCTCAGAGAACCCAGAGTGGAAAAATTATGATTATGTTGACAATACTACTAGCTAACATTTGTTCATTATTGTAGTCTAGGCGGTGTGCACAACACTTTTAGTTCTCACAATCACCTTACAAGGTAGATATTCATATTTCCACTTGATGGACAAATGAACTGAGGCCCAGAGAGGTCAAGTAACTTGCCCGAGGTCATATGGCTGGGAAGAAGAGAACTGAGAAGTCTGATTCTTAAGCACTCTACTGTGTAAAGGAAGATAGGGATGCGGGGGGCAAACCAAAGGACAATTTTTGTTCTTAAGTTCACTTCTTCAAGCTCTGGCCAGAACCAGGGGAAGGGTTCTAACCCAATTCAGATCAGTTTCAGCTTCTCCAAAACAGCAGGGAGCCCATTTTTAGTGCAAAAGACTCCCCTCTAAGAAGAAGACAAATGAAGGGGGGAGGGTACACAGAAGAAACAGTCAACCCTCAGAAAGATCCAAGGAACAGTGAAGATTAAAAGGAATTTGATGTGAGCGGCTTAGCTCAACGAGGAAGATGATAAGCAGGAAATCTCAAAATGTCCTAAATTGAGAGGCTATCAAACTGACCGAGGATTTAGGATAGGGTTGGGAGCAGAGGTGCCATTAGCTAACCTGTGACCATGGGTAGTCACTTAACCTGAGTGGCAATTAACTTCCTTGTCTGCAAAAAGAAAGCACTGCAGGAAAACATCCCTATTATTCCTTCTTCCTTTAAATAATATCTATGAGTTTCTGCTATGGCCTGACTACAGGGGGCTAGAAACACTTGAAGCAAAACCTTATAGATGCAAGCCCAGACTTGCATGAAAGGTGCTTTGGAGGTGACTATTTGCTTTCCGAAAGGAATTCTCGCAAAAGGATATTATCCTGGTGCATACGCAATAAATCCGCTACAGAAAACAACATATGTGTATAGACACCTTTGCTCATACATCTTACTTATTAATGCAAACAATTCCAGTCCTAGTTGAGATTCTCTGACCTGACTCAAGGACAATCGAGGGTAAGAGGGGGATGCCCTGCTTGGTTCCTTTCAGCAGCCACAGGATCTACTTCAAAACCTCCAACTCTGAAGGCTTAGAGACCACCAGGGAGGACCAGAGACCCTCAAAGGAGGCGAGTAAGCTCCCGGCCCTACTGCTGGGAAGGCCTTAGCAGCAGCAGGGTAAAAACTCAGCTCAACCCTCTTCTGATCCTGCCAGCTCCAAGGGGTCTGTCCACTCCGACATCCTAAGGACCTATGCTTTTCATTTTACATCCCAGAACAATGTGATTCTGTCCGTCATCTTGTACAAATTCCCAAACACAGTCCCCCACGCAGCTCCAAGTCCTAACTTCAGCTCAGAGCCTGGAGACACAAAAAGCTGTGACAGGACAGAATCTGGAGGTCGGAACAGGGAAGCAGCTCTAGACAGAACCCACTCAAAAGGTGGCAAGCTTCAGATGCCCACCTGCTCCGTGCCCCGCCTCTGGGACAGATGGAAAGGTGCTCCAATCCCCTGCCCCAGGTCTTGGGAACTCCAGAAACATACCTTCCTTGAGAGATTTCTCAGTGGAGACTTGACACAGTTGCCCATCCTAAGCCGAGGCAGCCCCTCTCAGGATCCCTGGGTCCATGAAGGAGGCTCCTGGGGGCTAAGAGACCTTAGTCCCGGTCACCGCCAACCCCAGCCTCCCTCTGCCCGTGCCGGTCTTCCTCCAGGACGGATCTGAGCCCTCTCTCTTGCGCGCGTGCTCTCTCACTCGTCTGCCTGCTCCTGCTCTTTCTTTCTCTTTTTATTTGGTGGATTGTGTGTGTGGGTTTAACTTTCTGGGCACTTTCTTAAGGAGATAAAGGCAGGAGGGGAGCGTGCAGGGCACAGAAAAAATCGCGCAGAGAGCGACTAATGGCAGAGAGCAGCTGAGCTGGAGAAGGCTGCCGGATCATCTCCATCAGATTAGCGTTCAGTCCTCTCTCCGGTTCATTCCCCTTCCCCTGGCCCCTCCTCTCCCGGCTGCCAAATCTGTGGGGAGATTGTCTCGGGGCAGGGGGCCCAGAATGGCAGCTGCAGCTGGGAATTAGGCCAGCAGACCCAGAAGGGGAAGCAGGCTAGTTCGGGTCCCCAAAGTCAGGGTGCCTCCCAGCAACCCGCCTTGTGTGTGCATACACACACACACACACACACACACACACACGCACATGCACACGCACACACATTCAAAAGCACCCAGGGACAAACACGCATCCTAATTCCTAATTACCCCCTGGCAATCACAGCTCGATTGAAAGTAGGCAGCTCCAGTTGAGGGCCTGGGAGATCTGGTGACGTCTCCATCATGCTCCATTTTTCACACTTGCCTCGTCATTGAAATGAGATGAGGCTCAGGGGACTGGAAGTCCAGCTGAGCCAACAGCAGTGAAAAGCTCCTTGTGCACCCTCCGCCGTGTGTGTGGTCTCTCCAGCCCAAGAGAAACCATGAGACGGCCCTGAGGGGGACACGATGGAGGCAGTGCTGGCACACAGGGTGTGAGCAGGGCTATGAACCGTCTCCCTAATCCCCAGCGAGGAACTTTCCCCGGCTTCCTTAGGGTGTCGAGCAGAGAAGCTGCCCTTGGCAAAGCGGTCTTCAGGGTCCCACGACTGGATCTTCCTCATCCCTCCAGGTTCCAGCTTTGACGTGAGGTCACCTCAAGACTCAGATGTCACCTTTGAGACCTAGGGCTCCAGCCCGATCGATGATCCAAGAAAGGAGGCGCCCATTTCCCTGCACCCAGCTTTTCCCAGCAGGGGGCACCAGAGATAGGTCTGGAAGCCAAACCCTTGCCAGCCCCTGATGCAACAACACTTACATGCATCCTGTCTGAGTTTTCAGTCGAGAGAGGCTCTCCCGGGGACATTTTGTCCAGTTTTGGGTGGCTGATCAGAACGCCCACTAGGGAAGACGGGTGGAGGCCGCTGCCCAGAAGGTACCACAGCTGGCTCCCAGGGAGCTGGGGAAGGAGGACCCTGGATAGCTCTGGAGGACAGTGCTACAGCTGACGACACGGGAATGGTTTAATCAGGGGAGTTATTCAGCAGCTTTGTTTGGGCCAAACCTCTGGAGGGGGGTATGGAGGAGGAGGGGCACCCCCTGAGGACAGAGGGAGGAGCCTGGGGGTTTGTTGACGCCTGAAGGGCAGGAAAGGAGGGGAAGGCCCTGGGGAGTTGGAATTGGAAGAGTGAGGAGCCAACTTAAGTGCCTTCTTCAAAGCCGTTCCTTGGAAACAGCATGAAGGAGCTTCTCTGGCGGGCAGGGGGCAGAGGTCAGGGTCATGAGGAACCGCAGTGAACTCAGATGCATGGCAAGGTTCTGATCTGCAGGCCTGGGGTTGAGTCCTGGCTCTGCCAGCTTCTGGCTTCTCACATTCCACAGCTTCAGTTTCCTCGCCTGGAAAACGGGGCTTCTTCTCTCTTGCTTATAAAGTACACATGGGAAAGTGCATGGCACATAACAGGGAATTATTCAAATGGAAGAAAGAAGTATCATTTTGTCCCATGTTCGTGTGCCAGGCACTGTGCCCGGGTCTGGGAATATTGTGGGGACTAAGATAAACATGGTCCCTGCTTTCCGAGAGCTTACACTCTAGCAGGTGGACAAGCGATATTAAAGAGCTAGAAACACACTTATTTAATTACATTCCTGGTAAATGCTATGAAGGGGAAACGCAAAGACTCTGAGAATGTGAAACAGAAGGATCTGACTTATTCAGGGGGGATCAGGAAAGGCTTATAGACCAAAGCTAGAAAACTGACCATCTGCAGACTTTTTTGAAAAACCAAAGCTCACCAGGGACCCAAGGGGAAAGATGGGTTAGGCTCCAGGTACAAACCCAATTCATACTAAGTACATGGGCAGGTACATGAAAAGGCAGCACAGTAGCACAGCATAAAGCAGAGATGCTCAATGCTGGCTGCAGATTAGGCTCACTGGGGAGCTTCCCCAGAGATTCTGTTTTATTAGGTGTCGGTGGGCCCTGGACATTGGTGGTGTTGAGTAGTCCAAGTAATTCTAACCTGCAGCCGGGGCTGAGAACTACTGACAGAGGCTAAGAGCTTGGACTGTGGAGTCAGACAGACTTGGGTTCAAATCTTACCCTGCTGCCTAGCAACTATATGACCTTGAGGATGTGTTCATCTGTCTCAGCCTCAGTTTCTTTATTTATAAAATGGGTCCTCTAATAACCCTTTCCTCACTAGGACTGTTGTGAGGATTTAATGAGATAATACATGCAAAGGGCTTGGTACAGTGCCAGGCACCTCAAAGGTTCCCGTTCCCCTGCCCAGCATGGGTCCTAAAGGGCTGGGTGTGGTCTCCATTCACTCAGAGGACATCCATCAGACCTGGTGACTCCTGCCCCCTGCAGGCCAGCCTGAGCACAGCACCCACTTCTCGACCTTGGGATATACCTCTGTCCTTGGAAACAGGAGGCAGCAAAACCAGGCCCCAATGGAAAAGTCACGCACTTTGAAGAACTCCCATCCTTCTTTAGGGAGGAGGGTGCTAACATTAGCTTGAGGCTTAACGGCAGCAAGGGATTTAGGGATTCAAACCCACAGCTTGCTTGAGCATGTAGGGTGCGGGTGGTCCTAGTGACAGGGACAACTGGTGATTTGGAACGGGCAGATGGCTTGACCTTTAGCCGAAAAATTTTTAAAGGGCTGAACAGTGGGGACTTCTCGAAGGAACAAAGCACACCCCTCAGCCCCACCTCCCCATCTCTACTCACTGTGGCAGCAGCGTCTGGGGCCCCGGAAGCCACACTTTGAGTTATGGAGTGGAATAATAGGATCAGAGGGATGAGAAGGATAAACCTGTTGCTGATTATTCCTAATTAGGAGGGAGGCTGGCCTTCAATGGCCCTGATCAGTTCTATCACCAGCATTTGAACTTGGATGGCAGCCCAGTGCTAAGACACTCAGCAAAAGCTGGGTCGTAACCTGAGAGGTGCTTTGTGGATGCCTCTGACAAATAGGAAACACACGTAGGTGACTTCCCACCAAACCAGCATGGTGTGGCACAGGCGGGTTGTTCAGAGGTAGGCAGACCACATCACAGTCCTGTGTGACGTTTGGACAAGCCACTTCCCCTCTCTTGAGTCTTGTTTCCTCATCTCTAAAATGGAGGAAGATAATACTACCATCACAGGTTGCTGTGAAGATAAGATAATGAGAAGATATTTTGTCAATTGTTTAGTGGGCTCCAGACTGAGGTCTCAAGTACCCTGGTTGCGTCCCCAAAACAGCCAGAGGCAAATCCAGATATCCTGGGGGTCTCTATGATTGATATCAACCACAAACCGACACCTCAGGCTCCAGAGGAAAGGCAATAGGGGCTCCCAGCCTTCTCAGAGAGCAGTAGGGAGAGACTTGGCCAGGCAGGAAGTGAATGCTATACATAGCCCTTATCCTAGGAACATAGGCCCAGTGTGAGTGCATCTGTTAGGAGCCAAACCAGCATGGTCTTTCACCCCCATCTAACCTATAGGAGCTAAGAAAGCTCTGCAGTCCAGAGCCTGGAGGTATCAGTCCTTCATTCATTGATTCACTCATTAGGATATAGGATCATAGTGATCCTACTATGTGCAAAGCAGTTTGGGAACTGGAATCACCTACCCAAATCAAAAGAGATGTCTCTATACCTAGAAAAAGAATAACAGGGCAGAGCTGTGGGCTTTATTCGCATTCGCTTCCTCTACAAGGGGTGTTTCTTCCCAAACTTAGGGTAAGGAGCAGAAAGACTATTTTTAAAATAGTTTTCCAAGACCCAATGCCAAGAGTTGCCCCCCAGTCATGTCTATTCTGGGTTAATTTCTGATACCACATCTTCTTTCTAGGCAGCTGGGTGGCATGTCCATAGCTGGCCACAAAGAGAGTACTAGCTAGAGAGTACATTCAGCTCCTTCTTTTAATGGCCTTCCTCACTGGGCTCAGAGACAGCTTTCAAAGTACCTTACGTAGGCCCTCATTCAGACAATTACTCTATTAATAATCATAACATTAATGAAGGGTGCCCTTTGTCCAGCACCCACTCTGAGCCAGGCCATCTGACATCCTTAATCTTGTATAACCCTCATAATAACTCTGCAAGGTAGGTTTTGTCAATCTCATTGCTGAATGAAGAAACCCAGACCAGGGAGAGAAAATAAGAGGCTCAAGATCCCGGCAATAGGCAATGACAGATCTGGGATTGGAACCTGCAGCTCTACTATCTCCCAAGCCAGCATTCCATGCCTTAGCCCTAAAACCACATTGTCTCCCTACAGGCAGTAAGGATGCTCTGTGAGATCCCTGGAAGAATCCTAATTCCTGTTCTCCCTAATGTAGGAGTCTGTCTTGGTACCTTCAGTGTCACTTTGAACTGGCTCTCCCTGACTCTGTTAGAAATGAAAAAAAGAAGGCCTGACACAGCCCTTGGTAGTTAATCAGCAGCAGCAACTACGATAGCGAACATTGCTAGAACCTTTGTTCTGGGCTGCACACTGGGCCACGCTCTGTACGTATCTCCATATCCTATTTCATCTCCCGCAAACCCGTTGAGGTACTATGACTACCTTTCTTTTTTTTTTTTGCAGATAAAAGAAATAGGCTGGGTGAGGTTAAGAGATTCACTTAAGGTTTAAAAAAAAATGAACTTGGAAGGCATGAAACATATACTTCCCCAGGGCTATATTTTGCCTTAAGCAGATTCTATCTGCCAGTTTCTATATTCAGAAAACTCTTTCCCTTCTCTTGGTCCTGACCCTGGTCTCTAAGGACAGAAGTCACAATGCAAAAACAAGGGAAAGAAAGACTTATTCCAGTTCATCACAGGAGACTGGAGACTGGACACAAAAGTCCCAGGCTGGGTTTTGTTGTTGTTGCTATTGTCCAAGCAGATGCCTTCGAGCTGTCAGCAGGAAGCTCAAACTGAATGTGCTGAGCTTTAAAGAAAAAGTCTGCAGCTCCAGAGGCAAGAGCTTCCAGAGGGAGGTAGTAAATATTTGATGGGACCTTCCAGCTCTTCCCGACTCAGGTGACTCTGGTGACATTTCAGAACACTGACTGGGCTGGAGAATGTTCTTCATTTAATGACTAAGAAAGTAGAAGGAGGAAGAAAATCAGGTAGCTGAGACACTCTGAGCTCACAAAGAGCCCATGCAGGCAAATTCTGCAAGACTGGAAAGAAAGGGCTCTTTTTCCAGGAACGAAGTCAGATCACCAGCAAACTAAATAACCAGAAAGTGCATGATTCTGGGCCAAGGATCTACCCTCCCAAACTGCTCAATGGTAAGCTGCACAATAGCCACAACCTTGGCTATCTGGTTCACTGTTTTCTCCCTAAAGCCAAGCAAGTGCCTGAGCAAAGGAGGAACTCAAAAAACATTTGATAAATAAATGTCACCAATTCAACAACACAGCATCCCTTTTGCAAGGCAGACCCACTCCACAGACCACTGCTGCGCTAAACACCCTGCACCTCCTCGTGCAAGCCACTACAGTGAACTTCTCTCTCAACATGTTGCTGCACTAACTCTCACAGCTACACTTCCAGATCGCTATGCTGAAGAACTGCTTCCATCTAACTTGGCTAACAAGGGCTCCCTGCAGGAACAAAGCCGTACACTGCTGCCCTGTCGCACCACCACGGCAGCCCCGTGTGACCCGAATCCACGTGCAGCTGCCTTCATGTCAGACCTCCACCGGCATCAGCTGCTGCGAAGTAGGATGTTGAAAAGGAATGTGCAGATCTGAAGCAAAACACACACGGCCTCCTTGGAATCCTGATCCAGCGTGGCAAGCCAGGAGCTTACAGCAGCTTCTTTACACTACATCCTAGCACAGAGCTGCTCAGCTCCCCCCTCCCCCCACACACCATGCAAACACTCTGATCAGACCTCTGTATCACGCCCCTCCTTGGCTGCCGCAGAACTGTCTCAATGCTGTGCCAGTGAGCTTGATTTAATTATGGGCTCAAAACTAGAGGAAATCCTGGCTTTGCTCAGGAGTTCACAGGTTCCTTTCTGCTGAGCCTCTCTCTCCAGCAGCACAATCCCCAAACTGTAGACCTGGATTATGACTACATGGCTGTTTTTAAAGGGCAGATGCCCAGCTGCCTGGGACCCTTGAGAGAAAGACCTAGAGGAGACCAAAGGAGCCACTGGTAACCCCTTCATGACCTTCCTGACCCTAGAACGCACACCAGCTCAAGCTAGGGGTCTCTGGTTGTTATTCCACGTCCTATGACACACAACTGAACAAATGCCACCCTAATGACAACCTCCTTGAAACACCTCAAAGTTCCAGTTTGAGCAATAGCTCTGTACAGCCCCTCTACCCAGAAGTGTCTACCCAGACACTTCTCTCTTCTCATATTTTAGCTCTCCTAACTTTTTCCCAGGTTTGGGGGCCACCACACGCAATGGCTACGGTCCCTCATCCCCAAGCAAAGCTGCGTGCCTCGAGGTCCCCACTCTTGACCCCAAGACTCCAAACGCATTGCTCTCTTGGGTCACTCACTGGTGGTCTTAGCCAGAGGCCAGAGGAGTGGATTCGGCGCCACCTGCTCAGAGCCCCCCTCCTTGATCCTTGCAAATCTCCAGGCGGTTTGTGGAGGTCATTCCCTTTCAGGACTGAATTATCCTGGCAGGTGAAAGAGGGCTATGCGATGGTGTTTCGCCCATAAGAGGCCGAGAGTGTGGACAGCGCACAGGGTGCTGAATCAGGCACCGGGGAGGAGGAGCGCGGGCAAGGGCGCAAAGCTGCAGGAGGACTAGGGGAGCATGACCCAGGGGGCTGCGGGCAGCAGAAGAAGGCTGTGGGTGCGCAGCCACGGTCTCGTCCCGAGCGCCTCTCCAGCGCGCGCGGACAGGAGGCGCAACCCTTACCTGGCCGAAGGCGGAGCTGAGCATGGGGCGCAGCCGGTGGAGGAACGGGTCTGCCTCGGACGTGGCGACTGGAGCGGAGACCCCATGACCCGGGGCTCGCAGCGAGCCCCGGAGGCCAAGCGCCGGGGACAGCCCCCGTTCCTCCCCATCCCGCCCTCGGGCCGGCGGCAGCGGCGACGGCGGCGAAGGTCGGGACGCCGCGGCCGGCAGCGCCTCCCGGGGCCTGCAGTGTGCCTGGGGGAGCCCGCGCCGGCTCCCCCGCGGGCCCTCCTCCCGCGGCGCCGGCCGGCACAGGGGCCTCCGCGAACTGGGATCCCCGGACGGCGGCGGCGTGCCAGGTGTCCGGCGGCTGGGCAGCCCTGGCTCCCGGACAGGGCCGTGGCGGGGAACCCGGCTGCCCCCGCTCGTGGCCGCCGCCTTCAGCAGCGATGTCTTGGACTCGCTTTTGGCGATGTGCGAGCTCATCGCGGCGGGGCCCGCTCTCGCATGGCCCGGCGGGGGCGGCGCGGTGCGGCGCGACTCCGGGCCCCGGGTGGTCAGAGAGCGGGACGCCCGGCCGGAGCCAAGCCCGAGGATGCGCTGGAGGCGGGCGCCGTACCCCGGCCGCTTAAATGCGGCCCCGTCGCCGCCACCCATGTGACAGCACAGCCTCTACGCCCCGAGCCCTGAGCTCCCCGGCGGCTGGAGATGAAGATCTGGGGGAGCAGCCGGTTGTCCCCGGAGAGCCCACCCCCAGCTCCCCGGAGGCCCAGGTACCGCTGAGCCCCGCCCCTTTCCCCGCCCCGCGCTCGAGGAGCCCCGCTTCCGGGCGGCCCCTGGCGGCGGAGGGGGCGCTGCGGCGCCGAGCCGGGAGCGCAAGGGAAGAGGCTTGGCGAAGAGTCCCAAAGATGGCCAGACTTTGGTATCGCGGGCACTGCCCCTTAACACGCCTGGAGGCTCCCACAATGACCCGGAACCGCAGAACCTCCAGAAATGCAGGCGGGGTACACTCCCTAGGGGGTACAACTTTGGAACTGAGGACGAGAATGGTGCAGTACAGTAGAGACCCAAGGAGGATGAAGGTACTCTATGACACCACTGCTTACAAACGCAGGGGCCGGAATGGCACGGAAGGACACTGTTGGAAGGACAGGCTGCACTCTGTGAGCACTTCCTCAGTCCCAAGACCATGGAGTGGGGCCAGGATGACCCTGGTAAATCAGCCACAGAATTTTCAGTTGTCAGACAAGAAGCCGGGTGGCATCTGTATAGCATGGACTTTACAGGGCCTGGTGATGATCAAGTCTCAGGTAGGACCCATTTGCTGCCCCTTCAGCTCTTGTGCCCCACCCCCCACCTTCATGCCCTTCTACATGTTAGAGAAATTTTTGCTCTTGGTAGGAGTCACACAGGCCTTGGTTTGAATCTCAAATTCCAGCTCTGTCACTTACCACCTGGATCATTTGGCAAGTGGCATCAACCTTGCTGAACCTTGTTTACCTCTTCTGTAAAATGCAGGTAATAATCATAACTTACTTCTTGGTAACATCCAGTGACACCATGCATATATGAGGCCTAGCCCAGTGCCTGGAATA